AAAGGGTTCTATGGTGTGGTCCAGGACCCTTTAGAGACTCACCCTGCCTCCCTGGGGGTCAGAGGGGGCAAAATTGCCACCTTCTGGGACTCTTCTGAAGCTTCCCACGCCTCAAAGTCCCAGAAGGTGGCGATTTCGCCCATGCTGCCCCCATGGGGGTGGGGGAGTGTCACAAGGGTCCTGGAAGGCTCACTCGGACCCTTGTGATGCTCCCAACACCACCCACAGGGCCAGCGCAGGCGAAATCACCAGCTTCCAGGACCTTTTGTGAGGCTTGAAAGGCTCAGAAAGGGTCCTGGAAGCTGGCGATTTCACCCCCGCTGGCCCCATGGGGGGTGGGGGAGCCCCGCAAGGGTCCTGGAAGGCTCACTTGGACCCTTGGAAGGCTCCCCCCACAGGGTCTATGGGGGCGAAATTGCCACCTTCGCTCCATAAGACGCACAGACTCCCCCTCCACTTTTGGGGGGGAGTGCGTCTTATGGAGCAAAAATAAGGTATTTGTCATCAACCACAAGTATGTGTGATTTGTTGAATCAGATGTGAAGCGGAAATCAGTGGGGCCATTTTGACAAGTGACTAGAATTTTTGGAATGCTTCAAAAATATAAGTAAAAAACAAGTAACTACACCTATGCTTTTTGCAACAAAATATTTCTGTAAGATGTGATCATGTTTCCACTCTAGCAAGCTCTCTTTTTGCATCATTCTTTTTGCATTATATTTTCATTCCTTTGTGCAGAACTCATTGCGCTAATGGTTAGTAAGAGACTAAAAGTTACACTATATTATCCACAGAAGATTGTATTTCCTTCAGTAGGTTAAGACAAATGACATACTTGCTGCTTTGATGAAGCTTCGTTGAAACTGATACATCATCAGTGGCCCAGGGAGCATTCTGGGATACAGAGTACAGCATAATTAAATCAAAGCAAGAAAATACATCACAGTTGGGAACATGTCATTACAATAAAAATCTCTTCATAATTATATAGGGCACATCTAAATGCTACCAGCAGCATTATAACATTTGCTCTTGAAAACAGCTAGGCTAGCTGGCATTCAAGAGCTGAAGTCACAACACTGCAGGATTAGGAGCAAAAGAAAGGAGGAAAATCTAAAACTTAACAAAATTTCAGCATAAAATGGCTAAAATGATTTGTGTAATTCAAGCAGTGTTTGAATTCACATACCAAAAATCCTGCATGACTAAGAAAATGATATAACTCTAGGATGAAAATGATGATAATTCCATAAGTTATTCTGGACTTTATTCTAACTGAACAGGCAAGCCAAATATGATAAAGATGAGATAGTATCACCAGATGTTCTCGCTCTCCACACTAAAGAACACGGCGGGCTTTGGAAGATTTTAATGTACCGTATTTGCCGGTGTAAAAGACAACTTTTTTGCCCTGAAAAACATGCCTCCAAGTGGGGGGTTGTCTTATACACCAGGTGCACCCAGAGCGGGCAGCACGTAGCGCAAGGAGGAAAGAGGAGAGATGAACGAGGAAGAGGAGGAGGAGGAGGAGGAAGAGGAGGCGGCGGAGGTGGCGCCTCTTCTCCCGAGGAGACAGCGGCTCTCGGGCACCAGGTGGCGCCTCTTCTCCTGAGGAGACAGCGGGCGGCTCCGGCTCTCGGGCACCGCGTGGCCCAGCAGGAAGCAGCATGGAGAGGTGAGCCCAGCCTGGGAAGCAGGGGGAGCTCGGTCCCCACCGGCTCAGTCACTTCCTCGCACAGTTGCCCTTGTGGAAAGCAGCAGCAGCACCGCCGCCTCTTTCCCCATGACCTACCACCATGTTGCCCGGGCGGAGAGAAGCTGGCAAGCAAACGGCGCCTGCGACAAGCCAGCGCCGCCCCACTTGTTGCCAGCACCGCTGCTGCGCCGGGCTCCCAAGGAGACTTCCGGAGGCCGGGCGAGCGAGCAGGTGCTAGCTTCTGCCTCGGGCCAGCTGGTAGCCCGCCCCAGAAACTTGCTTTCCTTCTCCTCCCTCTTTGGCCCCTCCGGCAGGGTAAAAGGCAGAGGGGGGGTAGTCTTATACGGCGAGTATATAACAAATGCTAGATTTTGAGTGGAAATGTCGGGGTCGTCTTATACACCCAGTCATCTTATATGCCAGCAAATACGGTATATAATTACTAAAATTTCATGTGTTCAACGTGTTATTCATTTTTGTTCTTTGCAGCACACACTGCCACTTGAAACAAGTGATTTCAATTTTTAGAAAACCCTGGAATGGGTTGCCATTGGTCAAAACTGACCTGACAGCACATAATAATTATTATATTCATAGTGAGGACTTACAATGGTTTCTGCTATAGGCCAATAAAATTAAGAGATGTTCCCATCATACATTTGATATAAAAGCATTTTACTGGCTGCATGTCAATATACATGCATTGTGCTATCTTTTTCTCCTTATTACTGATACCAGCAGTGAGAGGATCTATATTGCTCCAATCTCTTTGAACACAAGGAGAAATAAGGCAGAGACACTGTAAAAGGGAAAGGCTATCCAAGCCAAACTATCATCACTTACATTCATCCATTATCCCAAATGCTTGCTGATGTTCACAACTTACAAGATAGCTACATTCTGGTGACAAGGCTATGGCCTGCAAGATCTTTACTATACAGCCCGAGTCTGTAAGTTAAATCAGAGTCATGCTGTGTCAGCTCAGATAGGTTTCTGAGTCGTTAGGGAGCTCTGGGGTTAATTCCCTGGCAGCCTTTAAGGCCATGAGCTAGCTTTGGGCAAGTTTCTCACAGCCATCTAATTTACTTACTTGCTCTGCATATAAAATAGTAATTACATACTGTCAAGTCAATCCCAGCTCATGGCAACACTTTCCAGGGTCTTCCGAGCTACAGAGTACTCAGAAGAGATTCTGAGGGTGGTCTGGGATTGTGTAGCTTGCCCAAGGCTGAACAGCTCAATGATCTTATCAAACCAGCGTGATTTGCACAAACATGAACACATTTTACAACTACACATAATAGAGACGCACAGGTCTTCAGCTCCCTGCTAGAGGTGCATTTCATATCAAACACAAATTTATTGTAATATAACTTATAAAATTCTTTGGGTATTTTGTTTTTCATATTACAGCTTTCCTAGATGGTTAAAAGGATTGATATCTCCCTGTAACTATATTTTAGGACTAGCAATTGTAATGGATTACCTCTCAGGTCTCCTAGGATTGACTTGGAATGTGCTGAATTTCCTTCCCTCAACTGCGGTGAAATTTTAGCTTAAAATAATTCGAGACCTCAGTAACAAACCAGAAACCCCAGCACCTTTGGCCTGTAGGCATGAGGGAGTGTTCAGCCCTATTCCAAGTCTCCTCACAGACACCCATCTAAGACACAGCAACATCTCTCATTAGGAGGAATACAACACATTTGCCAAAATCAGTTTGCTTTATTAGGAGTGTATTATCTTATCTTGTACTCCACTGGACAGCTTCTACTATGTCTAGAAAGGTCTGTCAAATTATGAAGGGAGTAGAAAATAAAAAATAGACAGTGGCTGTAGCTGGGATTGGGTGTCCCTATCATATTTATGGCTTATGACCTCCTGCCAAATAAATCCTCACATTATCTTTATTGTGACAGATTAATCGTAATGAATGTCATTGTTTTGAGAAAGTGCCAAAGGAAATAGTGCTTCTGATGTAATCTCACCCTCTGCAACACCCTGTTTCCTGGACTGGCAGCTCCACTACATGACATTCACCATTCACGCCTCCCAATTCAAATTTTAAAGCTATACCATTCCATATACTTTAAAATGCACCTATAGCAGTGCTCTGTGTTAATAATTAAATTAAAGTGTCTGCTGGGAAACCCTGAGGAATTAATGACTTGCTGTGCCAGGGGAAGAGGGAGGAGTTGCTTTCTGACAGTAAAAACACTGGAATGTGAAAGTGGATGGCTTGCCGCAAAAGTCAGAGTGCCTCTGGCCAAGCGGGTAAAGTATAAATCATGACAGCATCTGTCAAGACGTCCTGACATGTACTGCAGTGAGCAAGCCCTTTGATGTACAAGATTCTTGATAATGTGCGTTATACCAAATGGCTCCTAAGCAACATGGGTGTTGCTCAGTGGCTCCGTAGGGAGGGAGTTGCATGACAGAATCATCAGGGAAGCATGCGTATTGATTAATCCTTCTAATGGCCACAATTCCTACCCTCTGAATGCCCATTCTTCCAATTCTAATGTCTTCTGTAGCCAGGCTTTGTTTGGCTATTTAGCTTGGCTTATGGAAATACTGCTGGAAGGCAAGCCTCTGCTTTGCTGGGAAGAACAAGTGGATGGCGAAACAGGGGTAAATTCTGGCCTAACGCAATATGCAAGGGTGCGTCACATGCTTAGCAAACTCCAGATAAGGTTGAAAAAAGCTTCTGCATGAACTCCTGCACAAACAGATAAACCAGTGGTGTGATGCAGGATAACACAACTTTCTAAGCTCAGCACTCACATTTTCTCTTCTGTATCACTACTGAAAAAAACCAGAATCTGACATAGTTCTGTTGGACCAACAGGCATGGCAAAACTAGATGCAAAGAGGGCATCTGATGAGGGAGTCAAGGAAAATAAGTTTGGAGAACTTCTGAGAAAAGAAGTCATGTGCAGGTGGGTGGCAACTTCCTCACTCACCTCAAGTATGTTTTCAGTGAACTGGTGATTGTTTTAATTTCCCACTCTGAATTGATTTCATCTTCTGTTTCAGCAGTTTTGGGATCTACAGCAAAAAAATAATAATACATAAATAACCTCACAAGGGAACAGAGGCCCACATTCATGTCTGAAATACACATGACAGATATACAACTACCCCTCATATTCCTTACATTTATTTATTTATTTAAAATAGTTTTACTCTTTCAATCTCCTTAAAAGGATCCAAGGTGGATTACATCACTAGAAGATAATATTTAAAGCTAAAACAGTAAGTATACAAATACTAAAGAGGAACAAGCAAATACCACAACGAAAAAGGCAAACAAAAGCAATACCAAAAACACATCCAAAGCAGTAAGAAGAATCCATTTAAAATGCCCACTCAGGCAGCCAAGTCATTAAGGGAAGGCTTGCGTGAAGGGAAAGGTCTTCACCTGCTTGTGGAAGGACAGCAAAGATGGGGCCAGCCTGGCCTCCCATGGGAGGGAGTTCCAGAGTCTGGGAGCAGGAACAGAGAAGGCCCTCCCCTGTGTCTCCTCCAAATGCACCTGCAGTGGTGGTACAACTGTGGGAAAGGCCTTTCTTGATGATCTCGTGATGAACACCCAAGCAAGCTCAAAATGGGAGACACTTGACTTGAGGTAACTTAGACCATTCCATGTTGACAATAGGTTAACTGCTGTAGTGCAGCATCTAGAGGTACAGCTGGTCAGCCTGAAATGTATCCTACTTCAGTGTGATTATATGAATCCTACCCAGATATTCTAAAATGGTTTGATGCAACAGTTCCCTACCTTGGGTCTCCAGATGTTCTTGGAATAAAAATCCCAACAGCTTTCACCACTAGCTGTGCGGGCCAGGATTTCTGGGAGTTGTAGTCCAAGAACATCTGGGGACCCGAAGTTGGGAAGCACTGCTTTAACAGAACATGCAGGGTGAGAGGAGTGCTGGAGCCCTACCTTACTGCAATGTAACTCTTCATTTGAGAGCAACAGTCTGAAGCAGTGAGACTTCCATAGCTGCAGAGGTTCTCCACATGTCTAATGGCAGCTCTCCACTTCAGACGGTCCTTCTCCAAATTAGGAGAGTGCTACCAGAGCGGAGTGCAAGTACTGTACAGTTCCAATGCTTGCAAGTGTTTTAAATTCAGTTTAGAAAGCCTCAGCAAACCTTTGTTTTACTATTTCTTCTATGAGGTTTCACCCCTAGGAAGTCATTTCCAAACAAGCTTGTCTCCACCTGGCATTAAGTGTTTGGAGAATTGCAGCAGTTAGGCAGGAGAACCGTGAGACCTCAGACTTGCAAACAATATCAAATCATACACATAGATTAAGAGCAATTAAAATTAACATGCTGTAAGTCAATAGCATAGTTGGAACCTTTAGTCCAAGTACTATGTTGTAATTCAGAGATTTTAAAAACCAAACAACAGCAATAGAAAAAGCATTGGCCTCAAATTGCTTAGCAATGATTTTATCCAATATAAATCTGTGCTATTCACAGAGAAATAGATTACTTGAATGCCCCCTTTTTGAAAAGCATAGTATTTTTTAAAAAGAGAATGCTAATAATAATGTGCAACATTAAATCTGAATATATAGACATGCCTTCAAAGACATTTTACAGCACAACTAAAATGTTTCTCAACCTCCATATACAGCCAGGAAAATGAGGCTGTAAGACAGCTGCCTGTGTAAAGCAAATGCCAAAGAAAAATGTCATACCCATCCCCCAAACTCCTGTAACAGGAGTTAGACTCCCAACTCTGTGAAAATTCTACTGCTCTATTTCTCAACATGATTCATAGTTAGTATGCTGCTGCAAAATAAATTGTGTTTCTGCAAAACTGCAATATATGGGTAAAGATGATGACTCCTAATAAGTTGCTTAGACCATAGGAATGGTGAGATTCTTAAATGTTCGGTATAAAAATAAACCGTTATTATTCAGTATAAAAACATACAAAGATACCCAGTGTATTACAGTGGATGAAGTGATGGACTAAGACTCAGGAGGTCTGGGTTTGAATCTGTACTTAGCCATGGAAACTCACTGGAGGTCTGGAACTGATAATGCCACTCCATAAATATCTAACTTACCTTGAAAGCTCTATTAGAGTTTATATAAGTTGTTTCCAACTCAACAGCACATAACAAAAACAACAACATACCAATACATGCAAAAATAGAGAACCTATACAAAGATTTGAGAGGGGCAGAATACCCAGAAAAGTCTAAGCAAGAGACAATGGTTTTAGAACCCACTTTAAGCAAATGATGCATTTGAAGACTATTCTAAAGAAAACCTTTAGCAAGTAACTGGGCATGGGTTGAATGTCTGATGAGATACAGATGCCTACTTTTTGGGACTGCTTGATTACACAAACAAGGGTTGGTTATAGCCTAACAACAGAAGTTCTTCCGAATGAAGTAGCAAATCTCTCCTTCCCACACCCAGCGTTATCGTACACAGCCAGTTTTTGTCAAGGGCTAGCTCAAATCTAAAGTGACTAAGGAACGGAACGCAGGGTGGGGCTGTGGAGATGAAGGGCTAGGAGTCTGCTCATACGTCTGCGGCACAAAGAGGCCCCTAGGTCATGGTAAACAGACTGATATCCCAGGTAAAATTGAGCAGGAGGGAGGGCAAAACCTGCCTTTCACCCCAGGCACTACGGTTTCTGGGAGGGCGGCTTAGTTCTCAGGCATTGTGTCCCTTTTTGCTTTCTGTCCGTTGCCTATGGCTGCTGTTCTCTACTACAGCCCCACACATGGGGAGTACACCATAGCAGGAGCAAAACTTGGCTCTCCACTCTTCACACTTGGAGGCCTCTCCCTTGCCAGGGAATCCCTGGGAGCTTGGAGTGTGAAACGCAAGCTCGCTCTCTGTGTGCACCCTTTGCCTGTCACAGTGACGGGCGTTTTGCTAATAATAAGTAGCATGTCTGCACTGTGTCAAGTTATGTGAAACAGTTTATGGGTGAGTCATTGCTGGCAGAGCGGTGTCTGTATTTGTCTGCTTGCCTAGGGCAGAAACCATGCAAGACTCAACCCCACTAAGAAAATAAAAATAAAGGTCTGTATAAACAGAAACACACTCAGACAGACAGAGAGGCACAGGCGCACACAATAGCCTAGCCGCTGCATCCAGCAGCTACATTTTGTTTGGATTGCAAAGGAGAAAATGAAGTTCTCTCACGGCACTGTATAATGGGACTCTGGCACAGCGGTGTGTCAGCAAATTATCCGCTGGGCTGCTTGACCTGGTAGACCTTAAGCTCGCAACTCTAGAAACCTTTCCCCAGATGAGCACTCGTGCCAGACTGACATTTGCAGCTAGAAGGCAAAGAAATTCTGCTCATGAAGTTCCCACTGTCTTGCAAAACAGAAACATCTGCAAAGAGCCTCAGGAGGCCTGCTAAGTAGAGTTCAAGACCAAGAGAGAAGGAAATGATTTTATCTCTGCCAGTCATTATGACGTGTGTGTGTGTGTGTGTGTGTGTGTGTGTGTGTGTGTGTGTGTGCGCGCGCGCGCGCGTATGCGTGTGTGTGTGTGTGTGTACACACGCTTTGAAGGAGTGTTTATATTTTATTGGTGAATGGTCTTTGTGGGGTAGGTAGATGTGGTAAGAGAGATAAACACGAACCTGGAAAATTTTAAAACTAGCTTGTTTCCAAATGTTGCACAATACAACATGGGCTGGGCAGCTATTGGCTTCCAGATGCCTAAATTTAGTTTGTTTTTCGTATTACCTCTAAATGTCTTCACAATTCTAGGGCACTCTGTTTATCCTTGGAATCTTATCCGGGATTTCCAATCACTAGCATAAATACGTTCTACGGTAATGTCAAATCTCACTAAAAAGGTCCAGATTTCAGAAAAATGTCATTCACAAATCTTGACCAGTTTAAAGCAGCGTTACACACTCAAGGAAGCAAAAAAGAGAAGCTGTTTAGTGTGCCCCCTGTTCTCTGAACCATAGCTTGCAGCCTTCACTCATCTCATTTTTTTAAATACAGAAAACATCTTTTTAAAATTTTAGAGAAATTACTCAAACAGCTGGAGAACACAGCTATTTAGGACACTATGTTTAAAATCCATTCCTTTTAATAGACTCTAAAGTCAGAGAGTCTCATAAGCATCTGTTCTCAGACAGCCACCACACCTCAAAACGGATCTTCTGAACAAACTGAGTGGTTAGCTATTCTTATGCTGAAGTCCTGAAGACAAATTAAACCTGCCTAAAGTCATTGGGTGGATGGAGTCTTCAGTAAGCATTTCCTTACCTACATACATATTCCTTATATTGCCAATGCAAGCACAAACACACACAGGCACCAATTAAAGAACAGATTAATCTTCTGAATGCAAAGACATATAGGAAGAAAAAAGGCTTGTGTGGTGTTTAATTGCAGCAAGAACATGTGTCTCAAACTCAGGGAATCCTAGTTGAAAACAGACCACACAGCTACAGCTAATCTCCGACTCGCGGATAAAAAGGACAGTGGGGGCAGGGGGAAGCAAAACAATAAACAAGATGATAAGACTCTGAAATTTCTTTCACATCTTGTGCAATCAAAGGTAATATTTCCAAAGGGACCTTCTGCCACAAGGCCAGCTTACCCACTAGATAAAGAATTGGAATCAATTCATGCTGCACACCAGAATCCACAAGCTCAAATAATTTTAACTCAATGTTTCCACTACACCTCTTCCTTTTGTATTTGAAGCCAACCACTTTGAGGCTGTTGGATCACCATACAGTATTCCTTGGATGTTTTCCCTCGTGCAACTTAAGCTTCCAAGTGGTACATAGGGAAGTCCACCAGGCCAGGTGGAACAGTTTGTCCCTCTAGCCCTGTGTTTCTAGCATTTTGACTGGCCGTGGCTCTCCAGAAGCTCAAACACAGCTCTTCTCCATCCCCTGTTACTTAAGCTTTTTAACCAGAGATGCCAGAGAGTGAATGTAGAACCTTCTGCTTTTAAAGTTATGTACTGTACACATTAAATCTTGTGGACCCCACTGGGGGCTTTGTCCTTTTCCTAGATTCCTTCATCCTTTCC